CCGTTTGGCCCTGCGTGTTGTGTCCCTCCTCCCTGCTGACCACTCTCCAGATCCCTCTGGAAAACCTCTTCACATCGCATGCATGGAGCCAGTCACAGGGAAGGATGGGGAACTTCCCCCCGTTAGCACAGCAGGTAATGAGCACAGGAGCACGAGCGCAGGCGAATAGCTAAGCAAATAGCAACGGGCAGGAGAAACCCAAGAACAGCAGAAGGGCACGAGGTGGCCCAGCTGGATCCAGCCAACCATCCCTCCCTCACACCATGGGACAGCCAACAAGGGATGCTCTCGGCCACAGCTCCGAGACGACATGTAGGACATCACCAGGTTCCCATGGCGCAGGCAAGACAAGAAGAAACCTTCAATAATGCCCTAAAACGCGGCCTCAAAATCCTGCCAGCTGACCAGCCCAGGAGACATCCAGCAGAGCTGAAATGCCTGGAGAGGAGGGAGGGATGGGGACGGGGATGGGCTGCTGAGAGCCACAAGATCTGCAAAGCATCACTTTGATTTAACGGACTTTGATGTTTGAAAATTAAGTCAAGAGAGCTCTTTTATTTGCCACAGGGCTGAGCATAAGCCAAACGCGAGCAGGATTTAGAGGGGGAAGAGCTTTCCAGATGAGCAGAGTGCAATTTTGTCGTAAGAACCAAAATAATGATAAAAATAGCTAGCAGGGGAAAAAGGGAGCATTAAGCGCGGCATACAAATGTCAAACTCCAGATCCTCTCAGCAGAGCCATAATAAAAGGGTTTAACCTATTATATCGATTAGTGGTATTACACCTCTTGAGTGAGAAGAAACTCATTCTTACAGGCAGGCTAATTTCATAAATACGCTGCATTCAGAGGCTTCAACAAGCTGATCAGTTTTAATGAAAGGGTTGAGATTTAAATATACGTCTGCAAAGGGATTAGAGAGAGTTGCAACTGGTGATGGCATCTCCAAGGATGAAGCCACATTGCCATAGTAACCCCACGGGCTGTCACACGCTGAGGGTACCCGTAGAGGTGCGGAGAAGCTCACGGTGCTTCCCGGGGTGCCAGCATCCCAGGGGAGCTGTGGAGGGATGGGCTGCCTGGGGAGAGCCCACGGCAGCCCTGGTGCAGCCGAGGGGCTGTCCAGCCCACTCCGCTTTTCGGATGTCCCATGCTGTTCAACACTCACCTGGTACCAGTGACGCGCAGGATGACGGAGGTGGCCTCGGGACCCTGGGAGGTGATGTGCCACAGGGGTTGCACCTGGGGATGGAGGAGCTGCAGCATCACAGGAGCATCCGATGGGTTTCTGTGGTGGGGTTTAACAGGGGATGCAGGCAGGGTAGCTCCAAGGTAGAGAAGAGGAGGAAGAAAGAAGCACAGGCAACCTATCCCAGGCTGTGACATCCAGGGCCAAGCTGGCCAGAGGACAGCGGTTCTTCAGTGCCAAAACACAGGATCATGGCCCCGACAGGCAGGGCTCCCAGCTCTAGCAGGGGCACAGCCCAGCGCATGGCCCACAGCACCCACATCGGCTGTTCCCGAGGGGCCCAGCCTGTGGCACCCATACATCCTGCAAGGAAGCCCAGCCCCGAGACACATGCAGGAGTCCAGAGCCTGAGGGTCAATTTAGGGTTGGGAAAACTGGGGGCAGAAGCAACCGGACAGTAACTCACATCAGACAACGTGGGGGCAGAGACAGAGCCAGGGAGCTGTAACGTTTTGCTGTGGGAGTGGGAAGCAGGGTTTATTTGGCAGTGAAACAAGGTCAGCTGTCCCCAGATCAGGACTAGGTCCCGAGGGGGGATGCAGGAGCTCTACAGGCATAGGTAGGATGCCATGGGAAGGGGGAGAGTGACAGAGGTGGGGTGGCAGCCAGCATTCCAGACAGGGAAAAGGAAGAACCCAGGACAAGCGTGGCAGCTGATTTATGCTACCAAGTGACAGCCATGAGCTCTCACTCCTCAATGAAATGTCGTGCCCTGTGTGCATGCAGGGTGCAGCAGCTCCTGAAGAGCTAGGGAAGCATTACTGCTCCCTCCCATCGCAGCACCGACAAGCATGGCCGAGACAGCACCTCGGCCCCTTTGAAAAAGGCCTCCTGCCTCCCACCACTTCCATATTCACCTTCCTGAGCTGAGGACACAGGTTCTCCCTGCCTGTAAGGAGCAGTCACATCTCCATCCTCCCCTGAAGCATCAGGCCAAGGAACTGCCACACCAAGGGCATCCAGAGCGGGTTCAGCCTTGCCTGTGGAAGTGAACTACAGCCACACGCAGGCACTTGACTGCTGACCTCCACTTGCCACCTGGGAGAGCCAGGTTCTTGCAGAAGAGCAGGAACCAGCTCCCAAACTTTCTCTCCCCAGAGCCGTAAGCCCCTTTTCTGCCACTGCGGCTGGCACTGAAGCTGCCTCTGACCCTACCGGTATGGACAGTGGCCGTGCACAGCAGGGGACTTCCCCAGACTCAGCTTTGCTAGTCGATGCGCGATGCTTCATGCATGCTGGATGTGAAACGCTCAAATTGAAGCAGGTGGAGAAGACAAATAACTCTTCCTCCTCTCAGCACTGGAGCTATTCTCCTCACTAACACCAAGTAGGCCATTTAGCCACAAGCAATAAGGGCAGACCTATGAATGCAAGAACAGTGGTAGCACATCTGGCAGCAAAGCCTTTGGCCCACAGGAGGTCCATTAGGGACAGGCAGCCGGGGTACAGCACTCGTTCCTGGAGAGACAGGCAGCACTTCCCTGCAGGCGAAGCAAAGACAAAGGTCCGATGAGTTTTTCTGGAGAAGTCACATTTCCCCTCAAACACTTCAAGTACCAAAAAATAGATTATACATTTTAGTGAGCATATTGCCCCCCACCGCAGCCTGAGATGGTTCCTGGTGGGCTATGTACCCAAATGCCCCACACACGACACATTGCTTTGCTCCTACTGCACCAGGACCCATGTGTGAGGCCAACCGCTCTCCAGCTAGATCTCTTATCGCTCACACCAGGGAAGTCTCACAAAGCACCTCCCAAGAGCCCATTACTAACATGCATTAACTAACAAGCAAACTTGCTTACAACTCATCAGTTAAGCACCTGGAGAGTGATTTGCCACCAGTAGCTAATGGAGCCCATCTTATTTCCTGCCTATTTAACATTACACTGAAGATTCTTGCAGTTAAATGTCTTAAAACAGCCCCAGAAAGAGCATCTGTTGGAGAGAAGACCAGGAAAGGCACACAGAAAAGCCATTTATACATCTGGAAAGGTAAAGATCCAACGACACAAAGATTGATTTCATATAAAGCAGTATTGGGCAGAGCTATGGATTTCCATTATTCCTGGGAGGAAACAGCCCCCTGTACAACACAAGTGCTCTCCAGCCCCAGGAGAGGACGTGTGCTGAGGTTTATAATCAGCAGCGCTGAAAGCAAAGCCACCTCAGCAGCTTTTGCAAGTGCTCTCTTTGCATGTTCACCCTGGTAGAAAAGCAGATACTTGGTGTGAGTGAAATCCTGAGCCTTTGTGCGGCCACCACACAGCAATCTCTCTTGTGACTCGCCCAACCCAAACAAGCAGCATAAATACAAAATACTTCCCTGCCACTCCTGGCGAAAGCACTGTGCTTCCCTAGGGTCAAAGTACAAATGCAATGTCCGGGTTTCTCCACCTGCAGAGCAGAGATAGCAGCCATCCCCACCACAAAAGGCTGAAAGCGTTACAGGGGAAAAGCAGTAATGAGGTCCATCAGCCCGGACTGTATTTTTTGCCCTGCTTTAAATGTGTCAGTATCACACACACATGCAACAGCGGCAATGCTTTTCACCTTTCCTCTTAGAAAAAACAAGGGTTAAGCACAAACTGAAAACACCTGGATCCCAGTTTTCTGCTTGCCTCCTTTAACAGGTAACAGCAACTCTACAAGCAAACACTGATGCAGCTGCAAATTGTGTGATGAGGACAAGTTAATTAAGAATAGTTTCCTAGCAGGAACTAGACTGCCTTTCCTAGGCAGGGGAAACCCTGGGCATTGAGTGCACAGCTGCAGAAAGCCTGCTGGCAGTTGATAGCTGCTTCCTTTTACATTGCATCTTGGTGCTCTTTACAGGTAACTATTGCCCACAGAATGAGTCTGAGCAAGGCAGAAAAATGTTTTACTCTAAGCATTTTAGCTGTTCACTGGTATTACACAATATATCAAGGAATTTAGTGATATTCGAAGCAGAAAGGTAAGCAGTCCTCAGACGTACTAATAAATTGTAGGATTAAGAAACCACCCCATTATTTTATTAAAATAATCAAGCAAAAATAGGTTATAAGAAACAAAGTTGTCCTAGCTGTCTGGCTAAAAGTAAACAGGAATCATGACATACACTCATTATTGCATTTTCTTCTTGTTGTGCAGACTAGGTTCTTCCCTTAGTTAAAGCAATTGGCTAAATGAACAGGAAAGAAAACACAACCCAGGAAACAGCTGGGTTTCCAGGTGGTGCCTCCGTCACTTACAGTTTCTGAGCTTCTACATCGGTAACCTTAAGAGCATTAACAGTGCTACAGGATTTCTTTTTCCTCTCCCAGCTATACTTGAACACTTCTGTTAAGACACTTCACTGCATTTGAGATGCTCACCCATGACTCCTGTAATACTAGTGCTTTAAAATACAACATTTTGATAGCACAGTGCACAACAGATATTTCTATGACAAAAAATATGAAGCCAAGACTCCCAGCTCTGTCCCTAAACCTGTTGCTTCTAGATTTAATTCAGCTTTGATTTCTCCTTAGTGTGCAGGTTTTGACATGGTGGACCAGAGTATTATTACAATAAGAAAACAGCTACAGCAGCCCTCCAGCAATTTTGCTCCACTAAGACTGGAGTTTTATGCAACTACGTTACAGTCATACAACCAAAGTTCAGCTAGCTTTAAAGAGTGTATATCACTCACACAGAAAGAGGCCAAACTGCACGTAAGTTATAGTCAGATTACTTAAACATCACAACGAATTGACAACAGTAGCCACAGATGAAAATTAATCAAGATATTTAATACAGTGCAATCCATGGTAGTTTCTTAATTAAAATAATTGTGTGCATGTATCTGAATGGGTTATCAATTATCACAAAAAAAGCAATAAACATTGTAGTGCTATGTAGAAAAATGTACAACTGAAATTTAAATCTTCCCTACTTCCAAGATAGCATTTGTCAATTGCAAATCATTATCACCAATTAAAATGGGAGTAGTGACTACATTGTTGCAGTGACAAACACAAGGCTGGGCACACATCAGTCGAGGGATATAAATATAACTTGCAAAGAACTAAAAACCTAAAGCATTCTTGCACCTAAACACAATAAGAAGCCGATGGTGGCTTACAACTTTTCCTGGTTTTTAAATGCCTTACAAGACTGCTAGACACACTAAAACTGACTTAAAATTACAGAGTGTTTTTCAGCTTATTTCAATTCAATATGGCCCAAACTTTTGAAGATGAAGATCCAGCAGTGGCAGTAGCACAGTCCAAAAGCTGAATGTTTGATTTTGCAAATACCTTTTTACAGAAATTCAACCGTATAAACTGCAGGCAATTCCCCCTGCTCCCCTTTCTTTCCTTTGTGCAGACCATGCTATGCAGAAAACAGCAATGCGGTTCCCACTGCTTTGGGTTAAAATTAAAGATAAAGACATTTTGCTTATGCTTTCTCCTCAACACAACACATTTGCACCCAGAATAGGTAATCAAAGTCTTTTTCCAGCCAGTTACTGCTGTGGTTACATGGTTCCTGCCCAAGCTTCCAGCTGTTTCATCTCATCATCCTCTTCTTCCTCTTTCTTCTTGGCTGCAAAATATTAAAAGAAAACAAATGAGTGGGAATCTTGACAGAACCCTGTCTCGATTCTTTGCAGGAGAGAAGCCTCTGTGCCACTGACCTAACCAATAAATGAAGCACCAAATGCCAGTAGAGGAAAAAAAGACCTTTCTGAATTGAAGTGAAAGGTGCCTTCTGAAAAAGCCACCATTGGCTAAACTTCCTGATATTACCACTTTAAGTGGAGAAAGACAATAGCTCACATGGGAAGAATGCAAATGTGCATGAAGGTTAAGATGTGTACACCAGCAGTGTCTATCATTTTCCATAATCACTAAGCCTCCAAGCAGAAGAGCCCGAGCCTTCAGCTTCTGAGCCCCTCTCAGAGGGATATAGCTTCTTACAGAAATTCCTCTAACATCTCCAGTATTACAGTTTCTCCCCCATAAAAAATAAATTCCTTATTCCACTATTAAGTCCTCAAAGTGCAACAAATGAGGCTACTGTGTTTTGGAGACCTCCATCTCCTGTGTCAGTTCAAGCCCTTCAAGGGGCTGAAGAGCTAACCAGCGCTGGGTACGTGCCACTCCCCGCCTCTTGCCACGCTCACTAGTAGCTGGTTGGATGTGATTGTTAAGCAGCAGGCTACATGCTGTCTTGTTATTATTTTTGGTCCTTCCAGGGAAGCAAATGCTGCTCTTTGTCATAACGTGACAAGTCCAGTTTCTGGAGATGAAAACCATTAACTCAGAAAAAACATTTTAACCCAGAAATAGCTGCAATGATTTTGGAAAATACCAAAAAAAGATGTCATTTCCTCAGACAGTGTTTTTGCTGCAAAAGGGGAAAAAAGGAGTCAAATAATTCATACTCAAAATGGTTTGTGTCATTCCAAATGAAACATTTACGTAAGAGAGAATTGAGTCAGCTTTAAGTCAAACCCAAGACCTATCATTTGTACAAGTTTGGAATTTGTTTTTCTATATTAAGCTCTTCCAGTCTCCGTTAAACAAAAACAGCTTTTTCCTGAATTTCTTCTGACATCCACTTAGCTGACAGGCAGCAGCAAAAAAATTCTCATTCAGACTGGTTAAGTCAAAATCCAGACAGCTCCTGAGAACTGGAAAAGCAGGAAAGCTCATGATCATTTTCCATTCAATGAATAAAAAGGAGGTAGTAAGAGTCAGCTCTACTGCAGAAGACGCGCTACTTATTTCCACATTAAGCATGTACCTGCGTTGTTAGGTAAAGTAGTCCCTTTGAAAGTCCGACCCATGATGACCAGAAGTAAACTTTTAATCCCAGTGTATATTAAGTCAATTTTAAGTGAAAAACAATTTAGGTTAAAAAAAAACCCCACACAAAATTCCCACCCACCACCACCCCAGAATCCCAAGGTTTCCCAAATGCCAGTCTTGGAGGCAGTTCTATTTAAGTAAAAAGTAGCATGCCATTTAAATACATTAATGGAATTCTAATTTCCATCCGAAAGCAGCTTAACATAAATCCTATAAAACATTGAGTTTTATACTCATAGTTTTTACTAAAGAAACCGTTCATAATTTTTACTGCTTTTACTATTTTAGGAAGTGCTATGTCTACATAAGTCTTAAGCTGTATAGTTACTTAAATATGTGCACAATTACAATGCCACTTACTAGTGCACAGTCACTACTACCTAATATAATGCAAAAAGTATATTTGGGTTCAAGTCAGTATATTTTAACGTCCATACCCAAAGAACAAACCTCATTAAACCAGCTAGGAAATAAAAAGGCAATGCACACATTTATTTAAACTATGTCTCCCACTGTTGGATCTGAACGTAGATGAAGTCTCAAATCTAAGATATTTTGATATAACTCGCTCCCCTCTCATCAACACTTGTCAGCAGTTCTGCCTAGCAAAACAGAACTAGAAAAACACGAAATCAATTATGTCAAAACAAAAGTACTGTAAGGCAGAAGGAGCAAACTTCATAGCATGCCACCTAAAGCAGAACCTTGCTGTTTGGCAGTGTCTGCTCCTTCCCAGGTCCTTTTAAGCCTGGAAAGGCAGCAAGATAATTATAGACACACTGACCACTAGGGACTACTTTCATCCACTAGTTTTTGGACCTTTTTTCCCTAAGTAAGCACAAGAAACAGAGCTGCAAAGTCTACAACTTATTCATAATACATTAAGGCAGATTCGGCAAAATAGGCTCGTAAAGCTTCATATCCCATTAATGCATGCCAGAAGTATGCCAACTCAACTATATTTCATGAGGTATCACTTCTAGTTCATAGAAGAGTCATCAGTTCAGATTGAACAGCAGCTTTGAACTGTCTGTGTAAATACAAACATTTCTTTCCCGTTCTCCACCTAAAATTATCACACTAACTAAAATTTCCAAGATATATGTGCTCTAAGGTTGGGATGACCCTAAGTTCAGTACTGTCTGGCTTCAGTACGTGCAAACCTCAGAGGAGATAACAGCTGGCCCCAAAGAGGGGACTCTGAGGTTAGTTCCTCCCAAATGCCAGAAAAGCAGGAATCAAATTAAAAAACAAAGCAGCAGCAAGAACGCATCTTTCGGTGTGGGAATCTGAACCAGGCTGGGACTAATTCCAAGAGCCAATTTACCCTCCACTCCCTTTTACAGCCTTGGTATGTTTGTCAAGATTACTTCCCTGTTGGGCCAGCAGCAAATGGTAGAAGGCTTCCTTTCTCCACGTCTCCACTCTACTCTGAGCATCATCCACGCTGTAGATAAACTGGTAGCGCTAGAATAGATAATAACTGTTCCTGTGATAACTATTAATTTTCACAGTTCTTATGAAAGGCAGGTTACCCCCACAGAGAAACAGCACTAGACGTAATTTCTGATTTATGAGGCAATTTCAAGCAAAATATCTGTGTTGCCTGCAGCTAGATCTCTCAAATCTGAGGAGCTGGCAGTTAAATAAGCATACTTTTTAACAATCCAAGATGTTTCTGGTAAAGGTGCATACATACCTGGCTTTGATGGTATTGATATTGAGGGCACATTTGGTAGTGGTACTGTCTCGGGACCACTTATTTCCAGCAAGTTTTTGTCTAGTTCTTCTTGTTCTAGTTCCTCTAGTTCTGCCATAAGTTCATCCTAGTTTTTTAAAGGAGAAAAAAAAAAAAAAGGAAGAAACTTTACGTCATATTTATTAGCAAGTAGATTTAGCTGGTCATATTATTAAAGAAAATAGCTTAAACGCATAGGATCAGAGCAAACTGAGGAGATGAGGAGTCTGATTCTTCATCTGAATTCCTGTACATGATCTCTTGGAAGGAGAGGAAGGTGAGGAAAGCAGTGAGGAGAAGAAGAAATCTACGTCCAAACATTCTCAGATCAGGCCATCCAGACCATTCTCAGCATAAAGTAAGGGTCAGAGCTGCTGTATGCGCTGGTAGAAACAGCTAGTAACTAGGAGAGATTTTATATCCTAGTACTACACCTAGACACATGCAGTATGTAGATCTTAAAAGAAAGATCTCGTAAGAGTCACCATCCCTGGAGGTATTTAAAAAATGTGTAGACGTGGCTCTTAGGAACATGGTTTAGTTATGGACTTGGTAGTGTTGGGTTAACAGTTGGATTCAATGATCTTAAGGGTCTTTTCCAACCTAAATGGTTCTATGATTCTATGATATAAACAGAGGCAAATTTAAAGCATACCTCATCAAATTCTTCCCCAAATCCTACTGGCTTTGAGATGGCTGTTGAAATCTCATCTGCCAGCTCTTGCTGTTCTGCAATGTCCTGCATTAATTCATCTACTTTATCAATATCCCTGTAAAAGAAAGGAAAGAGTTCAATATAACCAGGCACTTTCCCAATCAACATTTAAGACTGTATTTCTTGGGTTTTGTAGAAATGCCACACCACGGTGACATTTACAAGGTCCTTTCCCAAAATATACTTTGCATGCAAGTCTGAATTTTATCCCCCCGGTCTCAACAAAATTATGCATGTATTTTTTACTTTTCCCTAAAGGCTTAGCTCACAGCAGTTATATACAGAGACTTCATATGAAGGGGTTTTGCTCTGCATTACTGGTATTAATAATAATTTGCTCTGTTCCCTGATCCAGCATTATTACATTATGTCTACAATATTTGCTTTTGGAGCAAGTACAACATTCCCATAATGCAGTTTACCTTTAATTATTGCTACATACACAAACTCCACTGCACAGAAAGAAGTTTAAGTCTCCCCTTGAGGCTTAAAATTTTTGCTGCTACTAGGTGGATCTGTAACTGGTGCACCCTCCCATTTGCTTTAGACTACACTGGTGCTAGCCTTCCGTTGGACAAAGGTAGCAGCTTTGTGCCATGTAAAATGGTGTCAAACTGAGAAAGCATCAATACTTGCATATTTTGTTCAATATGAAAGTCTATCTAGTATTTGAGTTTAATTTAAGTTACAGCCTGTTAAAACAAGATTTTGCTACTCCAGCTCTACTTTTGGTTATGAAACACCTGGCATTTAGCAGATCAAAAAAATAACAAAATAACGGTCCTACGGAAAGATGCGGAAGGGAGTAACTTACATGTTGTCATGAGCAGCTTTCATAGCTTTAGCAGCAAAACCCATATTCTTAAGCACTTCAGTGTTAGTATTGGCATTCTCAAGGGCTTCCCTCTGAAATTCAATTGTTGATAACGTGCCATCTATCTGTGCAAGCTGCTTCTCGTACCTCTTCTTACGCTTTAGGGCCTGAAGAGCAGCTGAACAACAAAGAAGATGGTAAGATTTATGAGATTTATGCCTAAAACAGCCATTCATATTTTGTACCAAATGCCACTCGGTACAGAGCAATGTTTAACACCTTCAATTGTTTGCCATCTAACTTTTCTTCCTAGATAAATTAAGTTACCTAACCCTTGTGTTTGCCTCCTTCAACAGAATTGTGTAAAGGTGGCCAGATGCCTGCTGTCCATCTCCTGCCACACGAAGGATGCAAGCCAAGAAGCAAGTCAAGGATCAGTAGTCCAGTCACTCGAAACACACCACAAACCAGAGACTACGCTACAACAAACAGCAGGCTTCAATATCCACTTAAAAACATCTTTGTTCACCATCACCCCCAATACATCAAGGCACAGTTGTTGTAGCTTCTGGCACATGAGGTTGTGACGCTGCTGCAGGGTCCCTGCCAGCCAGCTGAACTCCTGGGCAGCTGCTGGGAGAAGAAACTTGTTCAAATACAAAGCAAGACAAATGTTTCTTCAGCTTTGCTACTTAATGCTGTGAAATACATATATTTGTACATACATAGAAATATTTATATATAAACAAACTTTGTGCATGTTTCATATTACTCCTACTACAAGGTACTGTCCACACAACAGTCTCTACTGATAGACATGAGAAGAGAGGTGCCATGACTTAAATTGATTTGAGCAATTTGCTGTTTGTAAGCACTTGTACAATGCCTGCTCTTGCAAGAGGAGCCCACCCATGACAGCGCCAACACAGAGGTCCACACCCACGGGGATCACCCCATGTGGGAGGACTGGTCCAACTCGCTGCACAGCTAGGCTTCTCCAGCTCCTTCTGCAACACTCAGCTCCACCCCACCCAGATAGGTATGCAGCCAACGGGTGAAAACAGTCAACAGCTAGCTCTTCCCGAGACACCCGGACAGACAACAGACCGATGGACGTCCGTTCCCAAAACACTGACAGTGAACACAAACTAGGTTTACATGTTCTTGCCTGTATGTGGCTAAAAATTTTGGTAGAAGCTGCAGTGAGGGCGAGACGTACCAAGCACTGAGCACTGCCAGCTGACGAACAAACACCAAGTATCACATGGAGTAAGACGTGAGTACAGCTTCCCTTCACGGCATTTCTACTTCCCCTCCCGATATGAACAGACTTGTCCACTGTGTGACAGTCTTGGTCATATAATACACCCGTGTACTTTAAAAACTCAACTTGGACACAAGCTGCTGTCCTAACAGCCTTACTCTCGGCTTCTGAACTCAGCCACGTGCACGCTTCATTTCTTCAATGCTCTAATATCTGTGAAACTCATAGCAGAAAACAGTTAGCATGATACAGGATCAGCTCTGCTAAAAATCAACGTCTTGGACCTCCCAACAGATCAGTCACATGCACCAGGAATGTGCAAATAAAGGCTTTAAATCTTTAAATCTCTAAAAGACATTATTTCAGACCTTTGCAGATTTTTTGGAGGGGAGTAGAAAACAAGGAGTAGGAAATCCCGGCAGCAAACAGCTTCCCTTATTTCCCTTACTAGAGGGATGATAACTTTGTGACATGATGAGTATGTTCCTGCAACACACACAAAATAGCTCCTCTCCTAAAAGTGGATTAAGCCTGCAGGCACCCCGTGTATTTTGTCAGATGCCACCTTGAGAAGCTTGACAGTCCTTCAAGATAATGTCCTGGCATCCAGAAGCCCTACACATACTTTCAGTTCTACAATTGGTTATGAATATGCTGCATTTGATTATTTTCAAGTTACACTAATGTATTAGAGAATAAAAAAGTACTTTGTGAAGGTACAGCTGAGGTTGCCAAGCATGCAAAGTAGCACAGGTTGATTTAGTAGAAGTGATCAAAACCACAAAAGCACAGGACACCTCGGCTGTTCCAACAGAAGCCAAAGACCCAAAACAAGCCCCTTCACTGACTTTCACTCCAACGACCAGTAGATCTCCCCACTGTTTTGGGGCCAGCCCAACATCCATTCTCGTTTGACAAGAGTAGGAACAGGACTGGGTTTTCATGTAACACAAAGGACAATGTTTGCTCTGCAGAATCAAGCACAACACAAACATCATCTGAAACATTCCAGCTTTATGCCAGATCATAAACTGATGAGTAACACATTACTGGTATATTTACTCTGGTTAATTTTGTGCTAACGGTTTAATTAAGGATATATAAAGTTTTCTTACTCAGAAAGATAAAACTGTTAACAGGCTGTGTTTATATAGTGACAGATGCTGGGAAAGTGTCAGACAATGATAGGACATTCTTTATTGAGGATTTTGTGCCTCATGGAGAATTACTGGCAAAACCAGAGATTTTATAACCGTTATACAAACCCAAGTAAAGTACTATAATTTACATACAGTTCCCCACTCTAGCTTTCTCTGAGAATAGCCACAGTTCATCTACATTTCATGCTTATGTACTTTTAAAACAAGCTCCTCAGACACCAAACATTGCAAGCATCATTGTAAAAGATCTTGTGATCAGGAGTGTTTATTTGGACTGTTGGGTAACCCTACCCCTCCTGTTCCCACTGTTCTTCCTGTTCAGCATACCACAACTGCACTCCCCAGCCTTCACTCTGTTTTACAAATCCTTTCCTTGATTAATTTCTCACTTGTATATGCAGATCAAGGCTCCCGCTTTTACAAAGCACGGTGCATGATCTTCTACCTTGCAGAACTGAGCAGGGATCCCTGGAGTTGGACCCCGCGAGACCTGGAAGATGGCACACGTCTCCCACCCGGGTTCAGGCTGCGGCACTGCTGCCTGCTGCTGGACCTCCGGCGTTCCTGCTGGACTCCCAGCCAAGCACCGACCACGCTCAGATCTGCTACGGTCGGAAGCCTGGCACACAGACCCCTGCCTAGGAACAGGAATATAAACATGCTCGTTTTAAAATTTGCCTTGTTTAAAGTAAAAACTTAAAATGGATTTGTGGTATTTTCTAGAAACGTTTCCAACTCCTTTGCAGCATCGAGAGCAGCCAAGGAAGATATTTATATTTTCCCCTCTCCTCTGTAAGGCCAACGCAAGGACAAGGCTTCCCACGGCCACAGTGCCCACCTGTGCCTACTTGAAGACTGACGGGTAGAAATGCCTGTTTCGGTAGCCTAAAAGGAGCATGGACCGATCCACAGCCCCAGTAACAAATGCAGGACCGCGCATAAACCTTCTGTGTCTGGACAGTTCAGCATAAATACTTAGCACAGGCCAATTAACACCAAAGTGATAAATGAGTTCCTGCAGTGAAGAAAATCTTACACAAGAGATTGCAATTTCTTGCAGCTAGAAGCACTAAGGAATGTAAAACAACGTATTCAGTGCCTCAACTTAGATGACCACAACTTCCTGCAATTTATTTTCATCTGTGTTTCCTTGCTTAACTATCTTTTAATGTAAAGTCCTTGTTTATAACTAGAAGATTTTATTAAGCCGAAAAGATAAGAAAATACCAAGTTAATTTAGATCACTCGCATTCATTCCCCAAATTCCTCCCTCCACTTTACATTCAGGATTCTCCTTGTCGCAATTAGCAGGACAGCCGTTTCACGGTGCCCCTTTCACAGATGCTCCCAGGCACCCACATCTGGACACAAACGCAACTCGGAGAACGATGCTCTCTGCCACGTTCCCACGTGCCTGCCCTCCGCGCAGGGTGGTGGAGACTGCTAGGATCTGGTGCAAACCTTTCTGATCAGTATTGATCTTGGCTAGAAAAACAGATCACTAAATGATCACTTCTCTGCATCTAATTTCATAAAAAGGTTAATAAAAATGCATTTTCTTTCACAGAAATACTTAAAATCATGTATGTCTGTTTAAGACCATTACAGTTAAGTCAGTTTTCCATCTCTCAGGACTGATTTCCCTATTTTCAGATACTTGTGGACGAGCACACCACATCAATACCCACAGCTCAGAGGTCACAAGGAATTTCTAGAGTAAAGGTCCATCTGGAGGCAAAAATGAGAGCCACGCCGACCCCTGTACAGTGGCCAAGGGGCTTACCCAGCCGGGCACAGGCAAGGGGGAAGAGCCACCAACTCCTGCTTGAAATGCAGGACCAGCAACAGTCCTAGCACAAATAACGGGGCTGCAGATTTTCCATAGGCTGTTATCATACTTGACATACTTTACAGAGCAGTGGTATAAATCCAAGAGGGTCACTCTGTTCTGATCTACAGTTACTTTATCTCTGCTCTCCTATTTAGGCGTCAAGTTCTGAAAACTGATGAGCAGTTGTGCTGCTTTTTTCCTGAAAAACAGTCTTTACCATCTGCATAAATACCTACTGAAATCTTACGTACTGCCAGAGTAATACATTTTTATTAAGTTTTCACTGAAGTCAAAGCTATAAATACTTACTCTGAAGGGAATGACATTGGCTCTTTTTCTCAAAAAAAAAAAAAAAAAATCCTTTTCCAGAATTTGAAATAAATATGAAAAAGAGACAGTAGGCTACAAATATGTCCTCTAGCATTATACACATGCCAGAAACGGATGTGCGTTTGAAGTCAAAGTGTAACACGGCCCATCTTTGCTCTTCATGAAGACTGCTATCTCATTAGGCAGCCATGGAAGAGGCAGTCCTCAGGACCCACACTCCTAATTATGCCTTCACTGCTTCCAAGACAGTAATTACATAGGCAGGCAATGTAATTTAATACCCAGCTTCAATTGCTGTGGAACTGCTTCAGCAGGACCCGTAACCATATATTAAGTTTAAAGCATTTATTCTCTAATGTAGCCAGACAGACTTCGCTCACGACCCAGAACCTGTTGCTAGAGAGATCACCAGCCCATTTTTCTAGAAACGGCTGATCTAAGTTTTCCAACATTGCGACTATTTCCTTATCTTAGAGTAAAAAGCTAAAGGAGATTACAAGATCGCTGGACCAGACTCTCACAGCAGCTTCTGCAAAGTGCCCGATATTCAGAGGCTCGAAACAAGTAAGGACTAACGCTTTTTCTTACCATAC